GCAAAGTAATGGATACACGCATTTCACACTCGAGCGCCACTTTCCTCGCTCGAGCGGACTGCATGAACACAAGGCGTACGCTCGAGCGTGAGTCCAAAATCTGGAATTTCCAGATTTGAACCTCAAGCTCAAAACTCAACTCTAATGCATCAAAACTCAACCTCTTGGGCCCATTTTCTGGAAAAACACTTTAAACCCATAATATAACATGTTTTGAAGATCAATTTGTAAAATCAAACCCCAAGGATGAGTCAATTAAAACACAATTTCATCAAAACTTCAAGAACATGATGAACATGCAACATGCATGAATTTAATCAACTTCAAAGCTCCTAATGCATGATCAAATGAGTTAATTCACTCCCAAACATGATGAATTCATGGATTATAACCCAAATATGGACATGCATGCAATAATTTCCATGAAAGCAACTCTAAACTTCAAGATATACACATGCATGCATGATATAAGCTTCAATTCAACAATCTTCAACCAATTTATGACCTTAGGTTCCTATCTACCATGAATCATGCAAGACACAACTTCAATTCACAAATGAGATGATGAAATTTCTACCTTATGTCTTGAATTTAAGGTATACAAGCTCAAATAATGCAAGACTCCTTCAATCTCCTAAGCCTCCAAGCCAATTTGGTTGAAAACAAGTTTTTTCCTCTCCCTCACTCTCTCTAGTCGGTTAAGCTCAAGGAAATGGGCTGATGAAGTGTTGTAATGCTAGTATATAGAGATCAAATAAAGGCTCATGAAAGTCCACTAAGTGGCATTCTCGTAAATAAGTCCAACTCTTTTAAATTAGCATTATTTAATCCAATTTAATCATACCAAATCACATTTCAATTAAATATATCATAAAATCACGTAAATTCTAACTAGCACAAAACACTAATCAATTTTAGATTTGGTCGCCAATAAGGCCTTCAATTTGCAGTTTAAAACATAAAACACGAGCAGATAATTTAACAGTCAAACAGATAGACATGCGTTTAAACTAATATACTCAATCAATCAGTTCAGAATTTTAGTCAATCAGTCAGTTAACATGCTTAATCATAGATTAGCACTAATCAGTGGTGAGGGTTGTCACAATTTATATATATATATATATATATATAAATATATATAAGAAAGAAATAGAAAAGAAAGGAAAAAAAAAGGACCGGTCCGACCCTGCCGACCTGGTTCGGGTCACTAATTTTTTTGGTCCGACCACTGGGTGGGTTTTCACCGGTTTTGCTCCCACTCTGGGTTTAGGGGGTTGACCGGACCGAAACAAGGCCTGGTTCCTGGTCCGATCCGGGTTTGAAAACATTGCTTGCAAAAAGTCAGGACAAAGCCTGCTAGAATTAAAGAAATTAAAGAACTAGTCCAAGATAGTTCCAGGCAGTTTCCAGCAATTACAATCTGCAGCAGCCTTGTTGGTTTGAATTTGCCCTAGCAGTTGGGGGTGTCAACTGCTCATAATTGATTTGTAAAATGCCTATAAATGTTAAGGCATAGAGGGATTTAGACAGATCATGTTATCTGTACGAATACTCTTGTATCTTTGTATTATTTGGTGATAATAAAGGTTGGGAACAGTTCCTGTAATCTACTTGTATATGCTTGCATGCTTACAAAACTTATAGTGGGTAATTCGTGCATGCTTGGCTAAGACTAAGTACTGTAACTTAGTGCCATTACAGGCTGAAAATTTAAAACGAAAATTGACACAATTGTTACAGGGTCAATTTTTGTTTCAAATTTCCAGCCTGCAATGGCACTAAGTTAGGCACTTAGTCTCAGCCAATTATGAATACACACACACAAAGTGTTTTGTAATAGTTACCATAGGCCTCCTTTGTATTGTTGGTGTAATTAATAAAGGTTGAGAATTTTTCTGTAATCTCTTGCTGCCTATCCTCTTATTCGTAGCAAAATATAATGTGAATATTCATAATTTACAATTTGCATACAACTAGCCTTAAAAAAACTAAATTCATACCAATGTAAACATTCACACTACAATAGACAAAATTGACAAAACACAAAAATTAACTATTTCGATTGTTTAATGGTAATAAAAAATGATTGTTCAAATAACAAGTATAGTAACAAACAATATACAAAAAAATATCAAACAATATATCAAAAAATATCAAATAGTTTATAGGGCAAACTTCACTTTACCCCCCTGTGGTTTGAGTCGGGTGCGGTTTACCCCCTTGACATTCAAAAATCACCACATAACTCCTATGTGGTTTGTGGACTAAAACGCACAGTTAACTTTTCTGTTTAATATAGCGGAATGTGAAAGTCACGCGCCTTTATAAAGAGTGAGTCAATTTTTATGACGAAAATTCCGTTTACATCTCTCCAAATTTACAAAGGATGCTATTATTTTCCTATTTTTAATTTTCAATCATTAGCAACTCCTCTCTTCCTTCCTTTTTGATCATGTGTACATGCATATATATATATATATATATACATATCAAATCCAATTCATATATACATATACATATATACAAATAATTTTCTTGATCATGGATATATGTGGATGAGAGGAGGAGAGAGAACATGGTTATACAAATATATCATACAAACATACATAGTGCAGACAAACCCAGTTCACATTTTTTATCAAACCCAATTCACATATCTGTTTTATCTTTAAGTTTTATTATCACATATCAGTTCATCATCAATAATGCATCAAGAAACAAAACCAAAAGGAAGGTACAAAAAAAAAAAAAAGACGAAAAAAAAAGGGGACATATTAATCACCGAAAAAATTTCAACCCTAATCAAATAATCTAATCAAGCCATCGCAAATCCATCTCCTAAAGTTAAGAAAATACTACAAATCAACACATAAAGAAGATATCAATCAAGAATAAGACCCAAAAAAATGGAAATACAAGAATGGCGATATGTATGATCTCTCTCTTAAGAAATACAATAAACATGATTTCTATTCATGCGACTATGAGTTAACAATTGCTGTAGTAAGAGAATATTTAGTTATTTGGGTGTAGATAGCGATAGGGATGGTGTTACGATTTTGATCCTTTGGGTTTTGTTTGTGTGTTTGTGTGTGTGTAGAGTTGCTCATCAAACACTCTATTTGTGCAGTTCAATTGGGTTTTACCTGTATATATATATATATATATATTTGTGTACTGGATAGAAATGATATGATTTGGCTTACATTTCTGCGTATATAGTGAGGGTAAAAAAGTCTTTTTACTTTATTTCCCAATTCAGGATATATAATCTCACCCCTACCCCATTACTAATAATCCAACAAATTTGTTGGATTAATTATCCATTGGATTAATAATCCTAAACCAAATTATTAAAACAAACATAGGATAGTTGGGCCCACGGATTAATAATCATAATCCTATGGCCTAATCCATCCAATCAAACATGCCCTAAAAGTATAATTGTCAATTTACAACTTATGTTAACAGAAGTTAGTATACATTTTAGTCTACAAATCACATGGGAGTTATGTGGTGATTTTTGAATGTCAGGGGATAAACCGCACTCGGTCCAAACCACAAGGGATAAAGTGAAGTTTGCCCTAGTTTATATATATTGACGCACATTTTCAAAAAAAATTATGTATAATTAACGGCGGTATAATACCGGTAAATAAACTACACGATACCAATTGTTACACAAATTGACGAAGAAACTACGGTTTATGTGTAACAGTGGCAAAAAAATGATTGTTCATCGCTGGTTTACCACATCATCTCTGTTACGAGTCCATCATCATTTCTATTATCGGTCTACAACTAACCGTTTTCTTCCAAATGGTCTTCCATGGCATGACCTTAATGCAAAATAATAGTAAAAGAAAATTATTGATTAAGTAAATCCCTCACATTGAGGCAAAGAAAATACCAAGAATAACAATCTTCTATATTTTATATACAATATTTTATATATACTATAAATAAAATACAAAAATGCTTTGGACCCCCAAAGTTGAGGACTCCCATGACCCCTAAAATAATGTGGATCAATCATGGATTTTTGTTTTGTTTTGTTTTTTTATTTTTATTTTTTTTCTTTCCTTCCTAGACCAATCACACGTGAGTAAGAATTGTGAAAGTTATGTTTTTGGGGGAATTTGTAACATTGTTGAATAAAATATATCTAATAACTCTTCTGGACATATGGTATATAATATATATATATATATAATAAAAATCTATAAGTGTAAAATAGTTCACATATGGGACTTGATAGAACAGTAAAAAAATTTATGAACTTATTAGGTTTTATGTCTACTTAATGAGATATATAAATTAATTTTTTTTATTAGTGATAAAGCTTTTTTTTTTTTTTTAAGTTGCTTTTATAGATTTTGGTTAGCAAACTTTTTAAGGTAGCGTCTGGTAGAAATTTAGAATTATGATTTGAAAATAAAATTGTATTTTGAGTTTGTGAGTTTTGAATTTATGATTTGAAAAGAGAAAATTTATTTGGTTATGAGTTTTGAAAAGAGTTTGGAATTGAGTTTTGAATTTTTGATGTAACATATGAAATGATAAAAATTGTTTGGTTATTAGTTTTGAAAAGAATTTTCAAAACTTAATTGAAAAACTTATAACTTATAACTTATAACTAAACACATAACTTAAAATTCTATTGAAAATTCTATTCAAAACTCATAATCAAACTTTTATTAAAATTCAATTTAAAAAAATAATTTATATATTTAAAAAAAATCAAAAACAAACAAAAATTTTTTTTTTTTCAAATAACAGGTGGTCATTGACAATTGTAAAAAATTAAAAAAAAATAATGTTCCGATCAACCGAACAGACAACCAAGTAAACTAAAAATTCAAAAAATATCTAATTTACTAAACATGTTTTCAAAATTTATTTTAAAATTAATTTAGAATCATAATTTAAAAACTAAAATCAAATATAACATTCAAATATATGGGTAAAAAATTGATTAAAAACTCACACCAAACACAATTTATCCCATGAAATGACAACTACGCCCCTTAAACCCCAATGCCAGAGGATTCATCTCTAGGTCAGAAGCGGAAGAGAGAGAAATAGGCCGACGTGATTAAGAAGCTCCCCGGCGGCGAGAGCTGATGGCTTTACCGGCCACTTCTGCACTATCTCCAGCTCCTTCGAGCTTTCCTGTATGCCCTTTTCTCTTTTTCTTCTTCCAAATTTCCATATATATATACACACACCTTCGTGTATGTAGATACTCGTTTCTATATGTTGAGGGCTTTTTTCTGTTTATCTTTCTCAATTTGATTGTGTTTTACGCTATGTTTAGTTGAGATTTGGAAGATTAAATTTGTAAAAAAAAAATTGCTTTTAATTTTAGCTAATTTTTATTATGAAGTATGAACCATGTAGAAGTTAAAGTCAGAAAATAATTGTCAAGCTTAAATTAACAGAAAAATGCTGGAACTTTGGGATTGGTAATAAAAAATGCTATGAAACCACCCTTTATCAACCCATAATTTTCCTCCAATGTCTCCAATGTGTGTGTAGCGAATATTAAATTGATGAAATGTGTGTCCATGAATGAATTTGAACCACTGATTATTTTTTCTGGATAAATTCTGGGTTCATAAGTCTGGATTTGTAATATTGTTGATTTGTAATACATGTATTATGCAGTTGCCTAATATTATTATCACTAGGAAACTTCATAGAGAGGCATGAACATTGCTTATACTCCCTTATTTTATTTATTTATTTTTTTTTTTTGGGGGGACCTCACTAGTAGTGATTGATGGTTGCTTTTCTGTTTTTGGAAATAAGAATCCATTTTGAGTTCAAGTAAAAGCGACAACTAACTTGGCGATAGACTGTGTTGATAAATTTTTTAAGCTAAGGTTCCTTCAAAAAAAATATTGTTAATGCTTGGACAAAATTCTTTTGTATAACCTTTTGATCTGAAAGAAGATGATGAGATATTGATATTTGTTGCCCTTTGTTACCTACTACTCGCACTTAATATTAGGATGTGGATATTAATAATCCTATCCATTATATTACCTGCCTAAAAAAAGTGTTCTTATTATAATACATACAAAAGCATAGTTTCACATCTATGGCGCACACACACATATATATACAACCACACACATGTATGTATGTATTGTCTCAGATGAAATGAGTGTACGGAAAGTTATTACGCAGGTAAATTGTAAAATGCGTGATCTCCAACAGGTAGGGGAGGGGGTGAGGATGAATTTTTTGGTTCAGTTTTATCAAGAGGGAAAGGGCGTGCTATGTGTTGTCAGCTCCATCACAATGTGCTTAGGTGTTTGTTGTGTTGGTGGAGGCTCCATGGTGTTTGTTGTGGAGGCTCCATGGTGATTCATCCGACCGACAATCCTTCCGGGGGGGGGGGGGGGGGGGGCGCCATGCCTTGCTTAAAGGAAGATTCCTATCCAATAAACATCACGGACTACATGGTGAACAAATTGAAATCTAATCAGGCTATTCCATTCCCAACATTCAAATATGATTTTCCTTTATATTTAATACTCACTTCTTAACAATCGGTTTTGCAGTCCCATTCAAGTACACAAGATCACAATTCCAAAACACTAATCTCATCAATTATTTAGTAAATTTGTGGCAAGTTAATTACACTTGGCACCCATGCACTTTTACTATAACCTCACTTTGATCCCTTCACTTTTAATTGTCAGTCAACCCCTCAGTGTACCTTTCCACACCAATCATGCCTACTCTATCCTACCCTGCCTTGTGCTTGTGGATTCTAGTTCAGTTAAACCTGCAAGCCACAATTTATTGGTTATATATTCTTTATTTCCTTTTAAAAATGGTTCACACACTAGCCATATGATATGCATTTGTACAGGAAGGATATTGATGCTTGAGAGGTGGAAAATGGAATCTCACATATTCATATTTCTCACTGAGAGAGAGATACAGAAATTTCCAACATTATTCTTTGATCCTCTGTGCAGATATGCAAAGGCCAGCGGCGGTGCCAACTCCATAGCGGCTTAGCAATATGTGCCTGGAATCACCCAACATGTGCCACTCGTTCTGTAAGACTACGAACAATGGCACAGTTCCATGAACCTCCTAAAGTCATGATGCATATGAATAACGTCAGGAAGAAATTGTGGGAGGTCATCCCTCATTCAGTTAAAGATTTCCCATGGAAGAAAGCAGAGGAGATAATGCTGCAGCAATTGCTCCTTGCTGGACAGGAGGCATTGAAGTGGTCTCTTCTTGCATTGGGTGTTTGTAGTTTGGTGTCAGATGTCATATACTCCATCTCTAGAAACATGGAGTTGGTGATTCCCTTTGGTCTCTTTGTTGGCTGCACGATGACCAATTTCTTGATGGAAACTTCTCAAGAATTGTTTCCCATTTCAGAGGTATAATTTGCTTTTCCATTTTTGTTAATCTCTCATCAATTGTGTTATACTATTCTGTTGTTTGATTTCAGCATATTCCGTTTGGCAGGAAAGAGGTCGGCGCTGGCACCTCTTGGGCATAGGCTGCTTTTTTGCTCTTATTAAGATTATATCTTTATATTTTGGGATACAAGGACAAATATTTCTTTTGCATGCTGCAAATGGTGGTTGGATGCAAGTTCTGTGGCTCTGGAATGGTTTGATGGAGAAACAAGACAGAGACAGCGGAGATAACTCTATGCACGAAGATGCTTCCTCTGCATGAATACAGATTGAGTGAATATACAATTTTGTTGTAAATCAAGAGCTCAATTGTGACTTTTTTCCTGTTTGTACTTGAATCGGATGCTTCCAATGAGAAGGAATTAGGGGATCAGGTTTTTTTTGTTTGAAATACAACAAAGTTGGTTGTCGTTGAAATTATCAAAAAACTTTCTATTCTACAGAGAAAAGAGATATATATGAGAGCTTTTGGCAATCAAATGTGGAAAATTCAAGCATTGACATGGTTGGCATTAAGAGCATCACCAAGAGAGAGGTAAGCCGCAATTTTAGCTAAATAGCTAGTGGAATTGCAGAAAAACATATTCAACAGACTAGTCAAATATCTAGTTAAACACCACAAGCTACAGTAACTTGCTTAGTTTACCTACTCTCCGTTCACTATTATGTTTTCTTATTCATCAAATCACAATCTTCTTTTTTCTCAGTTTTTGAAATTTATTAATGTCAAGAGAATTGTATTTGTGTACTACAATTTGTTTATCATCTGTGTCATTATAGTTTTCCATTTGTTAATGAACGTAATAACATAAATGGATAACACTTCCTCTTTTGTTGGATAACCCACTTTCATGTGGCTACTATTTAAAACAATTTTTTTTATGTGACTTTTAAATTGGTTTTAAACTTTCTAGTTATAGATTATTGTTTCATTCTTGATACCCTTAGGGCATGTTTGTTTGGGTGGACATGAGCTTGGGATTGGACTAATAGTCTAATAAAATTATTAATCCGATGTTTGGTTAAACAATTGAAGCAGGGATTAATTATTTTAAACTTGACTATTAGTTAAGATATGATACATAATCTAACGGATTCTTAGTCCTAGGACTATTAGTCATGGAAATGCTAATCCAGTCCATCCAAACAAACATGGCCTTAAATTACTATATATTCCTAATCAAAGTCCTAGTGTTGACTCTCTCTTACGTTTCTTGGTTCAATTATTTATGGGTTCAACTGGGAAGTTGTTAGTGAACGTAACCCTACTTACTCAACCTTGAATATCAAATAAAAGTTACTTGTGTGAAACAAACTACAAACATTTGAAGGAAAGCAATCTTAAAGGGGTAGCTTGCTAGTGAATGCAACCCCTATGAGGATCTTGGGCTTAGTAGCTGTGTAGCTTATGCTTTGAACTTTGGGATCGACATCGCTATTATTGTTTGTATGTCTTCTAATGTCTTCTTTTATCTTGCTTTTGATTTTTCTCATTGCATGTCCCAATTCTTTTGTTATTGTGCTCTATAATGTGTTTCTGCTTTGTTGCGTTGTTGCTTTTGTTGTCTGCTTCATTCGGGTTTCTCCTGTCTAATAATGTATGTCTTATAATTATACTAAGAAATTCATGTCTTATAATTATCCTAAGAAATTCATGAGTCCCGGTCCATTCATTTCCTTTTCCTTCAAATTCTTTTACTTCTACTCGCTCCAATGTTTATGGCCTGGAAAAATTGGATCTCTAAAGCAAAAACAATCGTCAAGGGTGGTTTTAAAATCAAGTCTGTCATGAAAACATGAACTCTTCTTTGCTTAACCTTTTGCTTTGTCTTTTTTTTTTTTTTTGTTGGATTTGCTTTGTTTTTTTCATTTGGCTTTTGAATTATCTATAGTGCTGTCAATGTTGCTAACCACTATTATAATAACAAAAAAAAAAAATCACTTTAATTTGTAGTAATGTTGTGAACCATGTTGAGAAAGCAAAAAGCACCATATAATGTACTGACTGGTGAGAGATTTTACATCTATATATATCACAGAGCTGATCTATAGGTAAAATTTGTTGCCTATACTATGTACGGGTTATGTTTCAAATTAAGTTTTCTATAAATGTGATTTCTATATCAAATTGTTATATGCAAATCACTTAAAAATTTAGGCATCGAAGACTATGAATCAAGTGTAAAAATGTTGCATTAAGTTCAGCAGTTGGCTGAGCTTATTTATTTGTACAAATGGAAAAGTCGAAAAATATGACTGCAAAATATATTATTGAAAATATGGCCATTGGAAAAATATAATTGAAATTCTTAAAACGACACGAGGATTTAAATAACTAGTCACAAGGGGAACCAAAAAAAAAAAGACAATAAGAAAAGAAGTTTCTTCAATTGTTTCATCTGTGCCATTTAGGAAACTTTTTTCACACTATGATTTCAGAATTTATCATGAAACTAACGCTGTGTTTGATTGGAGGTTTTGGGGAGGGATTTGGAAAGGGAAAGGGAAAAGGTGTGTGAAACTATGTGAAATGTAGGCATGTTTTTTTCACATTTCACCTACGTTTTTCATTTCTCTTTCCAAATCCCTTCTCAAATCCCTCAACCAAACACAGCATAAGTAAAAGGTCATAACATCATAAAACCTTTGTCAAAATGCGTAAAATTTTCACAAATGCTTAAATCGAAGTAGATATATGCACCATGAGCCTTCCCAACTCATTTAACAAAAAAAAGAAGGAAAAAAAATTGTAAAAACAGAGCTTCATTTGTATGCATGTCAAACACTTGTTTTTCATCCATTAATGTCTCTGGAGCTATCTTCTGTACAAGGCCTAAAATAATATTCGCCAATTTTTTTCCTTACAAGCAGTTTCTTCCAGGGAAACCACCATTCTAGTGGTGACATAAAAATACATGGGAAGAATTTTGTATATAAAAAATCAATTATGCGCAGCACAGTAAATCTGGACCTTTTTTTTTTATTTTATTTTTTTCTTTTCCTTTTTTTGGTGGTTTTTTGAAGGTAAGCTACTTCAAGTTCAATTCTTCTATCTCCAAAGTTGATCGAACAACCAATGATTGGATGGGTAGGTTTCCTGAAAAAGACACACAGATTTACACTTGTCTGAAGCAAGATAACTAAAGCTGTTCAAGCATCGGGTAGACCAAACCTGGCTTAATGTCCGCTAGGTCTTGAAGTCTGGTGTTGCCATCTCTATCCTCACAATGGCTTAGGGGAATGTCTTTACACAAGTCATTGGAAGTTGATGGAAACTGAGAATAAGCTTTAGGAAATTTCTTATACATCTCCTCCATTCTCCCACATAGTTCATCTTTGCGATCCAACTCAATAAGAACCTATGGACAAAAACCACAAATCAAACCAACCAGATTTGGAGATTAAAAAGATTAGAAAGACGTAAAAAATATTTCCAGTCATTACCTGTGCAGCATTGTCCTTGAATATTGGGTAAAACCTGTGCCTGCAGTACTCATTGAAGAGGAGTGTAAGGATAATCAGCGGAATGGTGAAAGCTGATGCAACTGTTGATTCTTTCAGTCCGAAGACCCCTATGGCTATTATTTGTGTCAGCACCAGCGAGAAGATTGTAGTGTTATGCATAATAGGCCAATACTTTCCCCCACTTTCATACATTGTGACGTATACATTGAGAATCTGAAAGGTATATTTGCAGCTTGCATCACAAATTGAAAATACATTCTTCAGAGGAACACAAAAAAATGGACACAAATTTTTTATTAAAAAAGAAAGAAAGAAATGAAAAGGGTTCAGAAACCTAGAATTATTTGGAACGTTTGGAAAAATAGTGAGCCTCTCATAACATATATAACATTAATAAATAAGATGAATGCATAAAACATTCATGTTGCAAGTTCCAAACAAATGGCAATAAATAAAGCTTTATTGGATGGAACATGCTATCTTATTTGTATGAAATCTCTACTTTCTCTCTTATTTGTATGAAATCTCTACTTTCTCTAAGTTGTTCAACAAAACTCAGCTGCCAGACTGAAGGTTGGTCAGGAGAACGGTCAGAACTATGTGTGCGTGCCCATTTCCTAATGCTGAATTTTGTTAGGTCCCCTACATTAGCACACACAACTAAAGAAGTGACAAACCTACTTTCATATGAAAGTTAATTTTCATTGAAACTTATACAAAGAGGAATAAAAAATCTCGTTTCTTACTTGCCAAAAAAAAATAATAATAATAATCACTTCATAATGCATCTCTGCCACACAACACAACCATCATCAGAAATACGGAACCTAAGGAGCTGCACGCCTAATTTATGACTAATATCATGAAGGATACAACAAATACAGTTTCACAGATTTTTCACAAAAAATACAATAAATAAATATAAATAAAAAATTGAAGTGAGAATTCGCAAAATCAGACAAAATTGCAGAACATCCAAAAAAAGAACAGATATATAAATAAAGTATAAGCAAACTATACATCACGAACACGATAAAAATCATGACCTTCTAATTCAGTCAAACAAAAGAACATAAACATCCAGAAATAATAATTCAATACTAGTTACTTAATGAACAAGGGAGGAAATGAAAGAAGTATATGTAGAACCTAATCCAATTGATAATATAGAAATGCTCACCTGATTACGGTACACGAGATAAGCAAGAAAAAAGTAAACCAGCAAGAAGGGCAATATTAGAGGTGCCATTATAGAATAGGTGAAGCCAAGGAACCCTAACAAGAGAACTCTTGGAATTTCTGTGTGGTACGGAAAAGATAAAGTGCATGGATCCTCCTTGTTTCTGAGAATGAATTTGTAGAATAAGTTGCAAAGAAGAGCATAAGGTTGCAGGAGTTCAAATGACAAGCTTGCCCAACCTGAAGATAGAACGTAAGTCATAAAGAATGTTGCCTGCAAAAAATTGGAATCCATTATCAAGGTTAGATATTACTCATGAAGCTTCATGTTAATATATAATATATAAACATATAAATATAAACTAAAGGACTAAAGGGAGTAGAAAACTATTCATATGACTCGTAATTACCCATCCAAAGAAATGTGCAACAACAGTAATAACAGAGAGCATGACTACATAAATTCGTTAATAAACCTATCATGGAGAGCCATAATTGACGACTAAGGAAAAAAAACTGCCCAATATATATAAATTAGGAAACAATGAAATCGGAGTCCACAAAAATTGCTTGGTATGTTCATCAGAAAATAAAAAATCAATAAGAAACACAGGAATATACAAAATTTTGACAAAAGAAAATAGGGGTCACAGAACAAAAAATTATTGTATATTCCAATAAACCAAGGGGATAACCACCTACTTTGGAAACTGCAACAAAATCAAAGCAAGAGAAGAAGAAGAGGAAGAAGAAAGAAATACCTGTGTTGGTACTGCTGTGCCAAGTTGGGCGGTTACATCTTTGGGACTAGAAACAACACTCAGTCGCTCAATAACTTTCCCCGATAGAACATTTACAAAGAAAACATTCCAGATTAAGAAATACAGGACTTTGCAGCATGCACTCTTTTTCCTGCTACTACGAGAGATAGCCCCCTCAATTGTTGAAAACAGATACATTGTTGGAGGAACAGTATACAGAAATAAAACCAATACCACACTTGGAAGGTACCCAGTCACTATGCGGATTATAAACTTGCTGCACACGAATAAGAACAAGGTAAGTTGCTATCTCATGTGTCTATTTCATAGTTCTATAACTTAAGTAGTGCTCTGTAGCCCTCTCTTGGCTGACTCCATCATGATATGACACGGCTTAGGTGATAAAAAAGAGAGAAGGTTGGGGAGTGTTGTTGAGTTAAATGGAACCAGGTCTGCTACTTAAAAATTGTGACGTTCTAGAATCTAAGAATTTTACTCACAACCTGATTGGCATAACACCACCAACAGTGTGACAAAATAATGTGTTGTGCAAATCACATGGGATGTGAAAGACACCATATGCAATTTTGATTAGAGTATAAACTAGGAATATTCGTCAAGGATGCATCTAGCTGACGTAAACAATTACTTGAGTTCAGCTAAATGGATCCATTCTTTCATGTTTGCTATATGCAAAATCCAATAAACTATGTACTTGTTAGAAAAGAATTTTACTCACAACCTGATTGGCATAACACCACCAACAGTGTGACAAAATAATGTGTTGTGCAAATCACATGGGATGTGAAAGACACCATATGCAATTTTGATTAGAGTATAAACTAGGAATATTCGTCAAGGATGCATCTAGCTGACGTAAACAATTACTTGAGTTCTGCTAAATGGATCCATTCTTTCATGTTTGCTATATGCAAAATCCAATAACCTATGTACTTTAGACATGGATGTGAAAATGCAGAGGTCTCACAAATAACAACCATGAAAAAAAAAAAAAAAAAGGCCCAATTAGTACACATTAATGTGTGTTTGGGAGGGAAAAGATTGGGTACATACCTAACCTTTGGCATAGTGTACAAAGTGATTGTCCCGAGACTTGAACCCATAATCTCAAGATTATTAGGCCAAGGTTTTACCATTGAACACCCCTAAATTACAACCATGAGACTAGGAAAATATTTATTTACACCAGCTGTTAACTTGAAAAGGTGACATAGAAGGAAGCTTAATGTCCTAAGGAATAACAGAACATTTGACCTTGAAAACACTTGAATTTATGCATTTAACATTGATTGAAAGCCTAAAAAAATAACACAGTTGTTAAAACTGCAATTCTGTACTCACAACTCTTCTCCTCATCTGTCAAGCTTTTTGTATTCAAGAAACTACACTCGGAGATTAATAAATCATGGACTCATGATGCTATCATTGAGATGTTGGCAAAATGGCGTGCTATGTTATTATCTGCACACCTTTAAGTAATATTCTATGCTCAAATCAAAGGAACTAATGTTTCTTCTCTTCCCTTTTTCTTCTTCTCTTCATTTGTAATACTTTGTGGAGAATAGTTTCATAAAAATAAAACTGTCAACTATCAGTTTGTTTTCTTCCTGACTGCCTCTCAACATCCATCCTCTCTCCCAAAAAAAATTAATAAAATAATAAGAACTCCATCCCTACCAAACTTAGTTATTGGATATTTGAAATGTACCCTCAAATGATACAAAGATTATACACATTTAAAAAGTATTGGACTTTTGAAAAAATAAATATTAACAAGGCTTCAAAAACAGGGAACACCATATTGTTGTTCTCTCTTTCTATATTAATATAGACATATAATCAAAATACTTTTAGAAAAATGGCAGGTCGCTTGAAATATTATAGTCAAAAAAATACTAAGACATATGAGGAATACACCCATAACTTGAAGTGTTTAAAGGCACCATCACAAAGCACACCTTTGACTATAACAAGACTCATAATGGATAACAACACCCTTCACTTCAACTCAAGGCAGTTCAGGACTATCTTGCTTTGAGGTGAGTCTCAAAAACGCTTTGTAGAACTTTGAAAGTAATTACCTTTTTAAAGCTCCACTCAGAAATGGTAATCTTTTCTGTAGACCCTCTAGGTGAAGAAGGCCTTGTACTACAGTCACAGGAATAACAAACACAATCATGAAACCGATGGAGGCCAGAAGAGTTAATAGCCTACGAATCCAAAGTAATCTATACGGTATACAAAGGTTTTTCCAATAGACATCATTTGGTTCTGGAGCCAAGTCTGTGACCCATATCATGGGATTTGGTGATTGAAGAACCTGTGCAGCAACCAAAGCTGCATAGCGAGTCCGGAAGAAAACCAAAGCAGCACCACACTCCTGCATTAAAAATTGAGCTACTTGAGAATAGTTCAAAGTGGTTGCAACTAAAGGTTTACTAAGTATTCAACAAAAACTCAAAATTTTGTTTCAACTGCATATTACTTGTGAAAAACACATGAATGCAACCAGGAGGATACTGATAACAACTACATTAAAAAATACTGAAGAATCGCCAAAATTTCCAGACAAGAATGAGTGACAACAATAATGAGGTCAAACAAAACTATAATAGAAGATTCAACAGAGTGTCACACATAAATAGACAATAACTATTCTGAACCCATAGCTGCTTAAACTGAGGAGCTAGAACATAAGAGCTATGAAAATATGTCCATCTATGCAGACACTGAAACCGATAGAGATCTAAAAAAAAAACCATATATATATGGACAAAATTCTAGTTGTCAAGACAGGCCTGCCATGAATATCAGAAATATAACTAGAGCAAAATACAATGAAAATTAAATTCATACTGTTATATACCCACAAGCCCAAATTGCAACTTCTAAGAATAGCTTCTTACGTGTTACTATCTTAACATTTCGTTGGAAGTGAAAATTCATGAACACAAGAAGGATAAAACACAGAACTAGGAAGAATTGGCTCCAAAATGTACTATGGGAAAAAACATCTATAATTACCCGTGTTTTAGTAGAGAGGCTGATTCTCATAATTTGAACAAGCTTCACAACTTGTCATCACGCCAAGTCATGACCTCTTTCTCATAGGGCATCATGTAAATTTTTAGGTGCAACCAAAGTCAAAAAAAGCCACTATACAAGAAAACTGATACTACCTACAGAGTATATGAACTCCTCAAGGGAAGGATTAATCATCCCTAGGCTCAACTATGCAAAAGACTCCAAAAATTACTCATCAAATCTATACAGAACTTCTTCAAATCTTCAAAAGAAATCCTATTTCTCTAGGCTCAAAATTGAAATACACAGGGCCATCCCATGAAATTGAAATAACTCTATTATGTTTTACTTCCAAAAGAAACCTCTAATCTTAACAACATCAATGCTCATACCAGATTATTTGTACCTTTCAGTGCGATGCAAAAAGAATAGAACCATTCAATTTTCATCAGAAGTCCAAATAAAAACATCTATAATTACTAGAATGTACTTCTGAAGTTTTCAGAAACAAATGAGACCGTTACCAATTGAACCTATAGCATACAAAAATACATAAATAAATATTTTAAAATAAAATAAAATAAACTCCAATATTTAAAAGCAAGACAAAAGCAATTGAGAATAGAGAATTATAAACTGTAACCATCACTGGTATATCCAGAGTTGAGAGAGTCATTGGGTATTCATAATAGCAAGTTAATAGACGTACTCCGAAGCAAATATAACTGTAAAATGGAGTATTCATGATCGAAAATAAAGATAGGTATTATAAGTATGTAACCAAGTCCAACAACAAAGCGAGATCAAATGCAAAAAGGGTAATCCCAATTATTTATTACAGGTCAATATTTCAACAATTCATACTAATTAGATAATCATCAAAGTCAGAATTAGTTCACAAAATTCATGTGAAATTTTATGACCTTCTCTCTTAAATCTGAATTGACAAAGCCACTTCCCCCCCTAATACTTTCTTGTTCACCAGAAAGGATCTTAAAAGAATGTTTAGTTCCTCCACAAAGGCCACATCTTATCAAACATGATCCAAAGTGTGGCTCAGATGGACTGCACTTGATCATCTCGTACATCTTTGCTGCATCAATCTGCAAGCACACCCATTTAAACATTATGAACAAAAACAAAGCATAGATTACTATTGGCTAGGAAACACAGTAAAATGTATACAAACAAGAAACCTATTTGAATAAGGTAGTGGCACGCACACAACTAAACCTTCCCAACTGATAAAATATTTGTATCTGAAAATGGACCTTTAACAATTTAAAGATGCAATGCCATTTTTAATTACATTTCACAATCATAGTTCCATAACCTACGCAAATGATTCTGTACCATAATCATGTGATTTTGATCCATATTCATACAACCTTGCAAAATTTATGGCTATAGAGATTTTGATCCATATACCTACGACGAATCTGATCTTTGGAAAATAGTAATAAACTGCAAAATCTTCAAAATAAACTGTTGTATTAAACATGAAGGCAGCAGTACACTATAATTTTTTATTTAACAAGCTAACCATTTGAAATTCTTACAGCAACAAGCTGTATCTCACATATATATATATATATATATATGTTCTAATTATATACATTTATTTGCACCAACACTCCCTTAACCACATAGCACCACATCATAAACAAATGCCATGGACAGACTTGGAGTGCATTACGACTTTTGTATATTTAAATGTGTGTGACTGATAGGGTCCAAAGCAACTGGTGATGGTACATCTTAGAATTTTGTTGCACAATATGCACAAAACTCATAACCTAAAATTCTTGAGCATGTAAAATTGAAACTTAATGTAATAAGTCTTAGTTTCTTTAGCTATCAAGTTACACTCAAACCAGTATGTGTGTATTATGGTGCTAGCTATTACACGTAGTACGCTCAGTTTTAAATAGCTTTCACCCTCACTTTTGATCTCATACTAGACAAAAAATACATGGGTGTTGATATAAATACATGGGTGCTGGATGAATCAGTCATCTCAAACCAAAATATCCGTATTTTGTTTTATGCTCTCGTTCTTTCTTCCATTCCATCAAACTTCTATATTTCACCAAATAAAATACTTAAATCTTAAAATCATATTAAATGCAAAGACAGGAAAACAAAACACATAATGACAGTGTAAACAGACAAGCCAAAAAAATAATGTGTAACGTGATGAGATTTTTAAAAACGATTGTTAGCAAATTTTCCAAGGCAGATCCTCACCATTAGTTTCTGAACTGCACCCGTCTGATAAACCATTTGGTGGGATAAATAACTTGACGCATGATAATTTGTGAAGAAATTTCTCACTGAATCACTGTATGATTCTTCTGGAGACCATGGGATGGCACGAACAAGAATCGTAAATTGACTTGGATTCAGAGAAGATCCAACAATATAATCCAACCGCTTGTTTGTGATGTTTTTGTACTCCTAAAGGAAAATGCCAACAATTCCACAATCAAACTAGCATACTTCACAATTTGGTTGTTACAAGAACCTTTAATAGACAACAACACATATAATGGATATAGATCTAGAAAAAGTTTTGATAATGGATATGGTTTGTATCCTTACAAAGTAAAGAAGGACACAAGCAGAGAAGGATATGATGTATAATGCAAGGCAGTGAGCCCAAAGCCTGACAAACAAACATATAGAACAAATTAAGGACAATGTGGACCAAGGGGAGAAAAAGCAATTGATTAGCCAACAGTTACAGACTATTATGCCATCTAAAACTTTGTAAATTCCTTTTGACTAAAATAAAATGAAATAGCATTCTTCAAGGCTATGCTTGGTTCATGGATTTGGAAGGGAAAGTGGAAAAGGTATGTGAAATGAAATGTGAAAAATATAACTGCATTTCACAAACCTTTTCCCTTTCTCTTTCCAAATCACTTCCCAGATCCATAAACCAAACACAACCTAAGGAGAGATAATAAATGTTATTGAAGTATCTATAACTCATCTTTCTATCCATTGTCCAAAAAGAGCAAAAGGGGAAGATCTTCAGAGAAGTTCCTTGGATGGAAAAGCACAAATGGCAAAATGACCAAGTAGACACCTGGTAATCCTAATTTCCCTAATGATTCAATTTGTTATAAGAGGCTACATGAACCCATCATATTTTATTTGCTATTAACAAATACAGAACATCTGCAGCCTACACATGAGCTTCTGAAAATTTTGAAAATTCAAATTGATTGAACTAGGACTATAATGATGTAACTCATACCACTGAGATCCTTCTTTGACATTCCCAATTGTAAACACATCCAATGACTCTGCAGGGATTTGCCGGTGCCGCATCTCTTTCCCAAAATAATTCAATGGAAGCACAAGAAAAATGCAAATCACAGCAGCAATGGAGAAGATTCGGATACTGTACAAAAATAGTGCAGCACCTATAGTTAGCAAAATTGCAAATCCAAAAGAATGAAAACTGATTTTGCAAACGTCTGAAGACAAAGATGGTAAATGCAGCTGTTTTAAGTCAGGTTGTCAATTTCAATAATTTAATTAAGTAATATGCTGTAAGTGTAATGTTGCTAACATAAAACTCTAAAATTGCATGTCATACCAAATGAAAAAAAGAATAGGAGGGAGGGAGGGAGAGAGAGAGAGAGAGAGAGAAGAGAAACAGGTATAAAACAAGAGTTTTCACAATTATGATGTAAACTGATGAGAATTTGATCTCTGCATTGTAAGCATAAGGTTTGAACTATAATAACCAATGTGTCCAACAGACCTCAAACTTAGAATAGGTAGCATTAAGAAGAAGAATTACCATAAAGCATCAAACAGGGGTTCCTGTGGTAACTAACCATTAATCTAAAGAGCTAAAATCCATTCCCCCACCCATGACCCCATCATCCCCTCTCGAAGAAAGTACAAAAAAATAAAAAGGAAAGTTTAGCATCTTAATAGGTCAATTACACAACAAAGTTGAGTAGCAAAGCACGTTGGTTTTATCAAATGGTGGAAATTAAACACCAAATTCAACCAAAAACCTCATCCAACTCCAAAATATTCATTCACACCTCAAAATGTTTATGAAAACCCTCAAACTGAGGCCAAGAATTTCAATTAGCAAAGTGCACGTTATGCGTCCACGATTGCAGAGATATAAAATGGATTAAAAAATGATAAGCATATACAATGCAATGTTTGCAAATTTGTGCCATTCAACTCAACAAAATCTTGGTCCCAATTGTTTTGAATCAGCTAGAATGAAAAATCCCTTATTTGTAGCCATAGAAAATAGAATAAAATGTAAGCAAATAACATAAGATGGATACCACAAGAGTAGCCAAGCTTTTCTCATCATGCATGACCACATGTGCAATACATAACATTATCCCTCCAAAGGATTCACCTTTTGCATGACGCACTCAACTCACCAAGCTTTGATGCCTCTCATTGGGGTCCTCTAACTTATGCAGAGAGAGAGAGAGAGAGAGAGAGAGATTGTTGTGAGAAAAATTATTACTAGAATTCATGTTGATCATATTCTATGGATTTTATAATCACAATCCCAAAACCACGTTTGAAGATTCATGAACACAATTTAACTTGTGCTAAAAGTACAAAACTTCCTGAATTTTCTTTAGCCAATCATACCATTCTCGTGAATAGCCGTTATCTTCACATTCTCATGTTAGACGCAAGAAAATTACAGATTTTGCAACTTCACTCAAACATTAATTGATATTATACATGCACTAACATTTGCGAAGAAAAATTAGAAGTAGAAGAGGGTGCCAACGTAGAGCCGCCAGACAAGAAGTAATCCTTTTATATTTATTTTTCTTTCCTTTGTGATAGGCAGTCAACAATAAATCCCTTATCAATGTAGTGCATGGAAACAATCACATTACCCAGCAATGTAACAACCAAAAACCTCCACATATCAGTCATTCCTAGTAATTCTCCAAATCAAGACTAGATGCACCTCTATGACACATGAATGAACTTTCACTTTACAAGTTTAAGTCAAGATATAATTACCTGAAAACAACAATCCTGAGGAAAACCATTGCATCCAAGCCCCCAGAAGCTAATATTTCTTCTTCAGATGCTTCCCAGGTCTTTACTATCCAACTAGGGGATGGAACAAATCTGTCAAAAGAGAAATGGTCGTTGCGTTTTGCCCGTAACTGAGCAAGCCTTTGTCCAAAGTACACACTTGCATTGCTGGGCTGTTTTCTCAAAACGGAGTATAGTGCAAAAGCCACAAGACAAAAGCCTGTATTGATACCAGCAGAAGTTAAGAGGCCAGAAATATCCATCTCTGTCCAATATATCTGCAACCTTTTGGTGTGTCATTAACCACGAATATCATGTAAGTACACCATATGACAAATCCTGCGAGTATTAAAAGCACTGGAACTCCAGGAAGAAGTAGCTATTTTGGCACTGATGTAGGAGCTGCAAAAGTTACAATTTCATGAATGTTAGAATGTTTACAGCATTTGTGCAGACACTAATGGAAAACTGTGTTTAACATACCTGTAAACCGCACAGCATGGAAAATGCATACAGCTATATTTAAAACTCCATTATTTTTTTTCTTTTGTTTATTCATTTTTAGTAATGAATTGTTGTTGTTAAAAAGAAAAGAGACAAAACAATGGGTCTTAAACAATCAATGAACCCATATACATATAGATGCTTTACAAATGTTTGAAATCAAACAAAAAAAAATTGCATCCAAACAGAGCATAACTTGTATGCATTGATTAACAACAATTTTCTACACAAATTAAGCATAGAATAACAAAGAAGTCCAGACGCACTAGGTAACAAAATGTATTCACAAATTCAATTACAGAAGAAGATTGTTGAACTGTTAAAACTCAACAGCTCTCCATCTTTTTCTTCTTTGGTGATTGGTGATAAAAACTCACCAGCTCTTCAGTTCTGCCTTGTGCCACTTGTATCGGTGCCTGAACATCACGGACTATTGATACATCATTTTCATGCCACTAAAAAGTACCGACCAAATGCAAAAATGTTGGCTCGGAGTAAACCTAGTGCTAGTGGCATAACAAATGGACAAACTTCTTACAACATTCTTCATTGCTAATGTAGGAACTTTAAAAAAATAAATAAATAAAGAAAAGAGTTCCTATACTAAAAACCCGTTGATAGATCCTCCTAAACTAGTAGAATCCAGATTTACATACACATTTAAATTTATACAAAAATAATGAATATATACACACATTTATATCTTTGTTCTCTTGTTTGTTTATCAAAACATTCCCGTACACACAGTGGCCTTTTTTTGAAATTTAACTTTTAGCCTAAAGTTCTTAAAATGTCTTTTAATTTGGCCCACCAAATTTTTATATATATGCTCTCTTAAATTTGTTTATAGCGCATTTCTTTTGTCTTTTAAACCAAAACCCATATAATTTGCCTATTCAATTATTATTTTGCTATAAATTGCTTTGTGTAATATCACATTATATAAAGATGCAATAATTTTTTCTTGTCCTTCTCGGCTCATTTGACAAGTTAAAATTATCAGGATTTTGCAAAATAATGGATTTTTCGTTTGATTCTTCTTCTAACTCAATACAACATTGACTAGAACAAGGACACAGATTAACATCTTATTTGCTTCACAGATAAGTCCAAGAAAGCATATCCTTTTATTAAGTGTACTTCTGATATTTTTCACTTAAATTTTTATAGTCTTATTATTTCTTGAGACTTCTTAAGAGTTAATAGTTTTGAAATATTGATAATTGATATTTTTTTTTCTAAACCGAACTAAACTAATCCATGTATTCAATTCCGATCCCACACATCAATTTACTTAATTGGCTTATAGTGTACACAGAAATTAAAGTCCTCTCAGCATTTCTTCAGAAAGTTCAAATATCAAACTAAACTAATAACTTCCACATACTAACGCCAGAGACTTGAAGAAAACGAAAAAGATGAAAGAATCAGAAAATCATCAAAACCAAAAAACCAGTCACATCACACTGAAGGAAGCATTATCAAATCAAACCGAATCATTCAAACAAATAATCGAGTTACACATCATAACGTAACATAGTTATATATATTATAGAGAGAGAGAGAGAGAGAGAGAGAGAGAGAGATATACCGGTGTGAATGTCAGAAAGAGGGGATACGAAATGAGGAAGATGATCGCTCTCCGTTTTTTCATTCACTGCTTTTAAAGTCTGTGATCACTTTGTCCGCATTGTCTCGTCTCGCTTCGCTTCGACTTCAGAGAGAGATTGGAATTGATTTGAAGGGAAAGATAGAGAGGAAAACCCTAGGAAGGGAATTGAGAGAGACGGTGGGGATTAAGGCGGTTGGGCACAGAAACGTAACGCTGCAAAATTTTCTTCTAAAGATAAACGGGTGTGAATGAATCCCATCTGGAATTCCAGTTTTAGTGCAAGTAGTGGTTGTACGGACAGGTTTGCAAGCAAAATGGAACTGCCACGTGGAAATTATGTGAGTATTTGAAAATTTAATTATTTTACTCGGTTATTTTAATTTTTAATTATTTTAATAAATTAAAATTACAGTGTGAGTTTTTTGAATTAAATTTTTTGAAAACTGAATTTTTAGTTTTCATATTTTTTTGTTTTTAAGAGTTGTTTGGAGTGTCTTAAATAAGTGCACTTTTTGTCTTTTTGAACTAAAAAATTGAAGAAAAAAATATGAATGTTTGAGTTAACTTTTTATATTTTTACGAAAAAATGTGTAATAAAAAATTATATAAATAACTTGTATAATGGGAGAAAGATGAGTGGTTGTAGGGCTTAGGAATGGCAACGGGGCGGGGCGGGGCCGGGGATCACCCTCCCCGTTCCCGATCCCCGATGGTGGAACCCGACCCCGATCCCCGACGGGAAACCCACTACCGCCCCCACCCCCGTCCCCTAACGGGGATCGGGTTTCCCCGACCCCGAAAATCCCCGGCCAAAAAAAAAAAAACACACACACACAGAGCTCCAGAAACCATCTTCATCTTCAAATCTGAACAACAACATCAACAGATCTTTATCAACATCTTCATCTTCATCTCTATCATTTTCCAGATCTAAAGAACAAAGCAAAAAACAAGAGAGAGAGAAAGGAGATCCGTGAGAGAGAGATGAGTCGGCGATGAGGAGCGAAGAAGCCGGCGGTGAGGGAGCTGTCAGTGAGAAGGAGCCGGTGGTGTGGGAGAGATGCAGCGTGTGAGAGAGTGAAAGAGAGAGGCCAGATATGTTTGTCTACATGTTTGTTTACACACACCAAACCCCACACAGACACACCACACACAAACACATATATATATATATAACATCTGAAATAAACACATAGCACACACATCTGAGATGGGAGAGAGAGAGATCTGAAATGAGAGAGATGAGAGGAATGTTCTGGTTTTGGGATTGTTAGATGAGCTCTGAGAAGAGAGAGAGAGAGATTAGTATATATTATATGAGTACAGATAAATATTATATTATATTATATTGGGTTTATTATTAATTGTTTTTGTCAGTCAACACAGGAGATGATGAGTATAGATATAATTTTATATTATATTAGGTGACTATATTATATTAGATTTGAAATGAGAGAGGGAGGCGGGGAGAAACGGGACGGGGAACGGGTTCGGGTTTTTGTCAGTCAACACAGGAGATGATGAGTATAGATATAATTTTATATTATATTAGGTGACTATATTATATTAGATTTGAAATGAGAGAGGGAGGCGGGGAGAAACGGGACGGGGAACGGGTCGGGGTCGGGGTCGGGGCCGAATCACTTATCACCGTCTCTGGCCCGAAAATAATCGAGGATTTTTTTTTTAATACCGTCCCCGGCCCGTCGGGGGTATTTTTCGGGGAAACCTCGTGTTAATCAGGATCGGGGGGTCGGGTCCCCATCGGGCCGGGTTTAAATTGCCATCTCTAGTAGGGCTCACCTGTTGCCCCAGTATGTCTTTTCCAGAAAATAATTTTCTCTTTCGGGGCAAAGTGTTTGGACAGTGATGGTCGGTCTGTGGGGAGCCACCATAGGTTCCATTTTAATAATCTGAACCGTTCAATATGTACAACTCGTTTACTATTATACGTCTGTAAAAAATCACGTTAATCGGATATCAATAGCCATATGATCGGATTAGTTTTTTTCAACAGTTAACTATCACACCATCCGTTTTGTTTATAAAAAACTTGTTTGATCATATAGTTAACGATATCTGATCAACGTGATTTTTTACAAACATATATTACTCGACGAATTCTACATATTCAACGGTTCGGATTATCAAAACGAAACCCTTAGTGGGCCCCCAAGGGCCCAACATTAGCATCAAACTTCGTGCCTATACCTATGTAATTTTTTTTTTTGCCCAAAAAGTGATAATGTCATTACTGTTTCACAAGTATAGCTCACAGCATCCATCAAACTTTTATATTATAAAAATATATAAAATATTTTTTTAATATTTTTATTTGTGAATAGTAATGACTTTTTTGTTTTTTATGTTACTTTTTGGCTTTTTAAATTATTTTATACTTGCCAAACCAGCCTTTAGTGAATATTTTTAAAATTTTAAATATATTTTTTATTTTTTTAGATGCACCTTACCTAGATGTATCTAAAAAGTAAAAAATTAATAAATATATAAAAATATTAAAAAATGTACTGAATTCTCGTATTTTTTTGTATTTTGAGTATTCAGTGAATTTTTAAAAGGTTTTTTCACAAATTTTTTACTTTTTAGGTATATTTATGTTAGGTATGTCTAAAAATTAAAAAAATTGCGTAAAACATTAAAAAAATTCAGTAAAAACAAAAAAAACAAAAAAAAACAAAAAAATAAAAAATAAAATTTTCTGGAAAGTATTTTTGAAAAATTCTAACCAAGCAATTTGTAAATGAGTTAAATTTTTATTTATAAAAGTAATGTTTGTAAAAAGAAAAATATTTATTTTATTAATTATTTTATTTTTTAATATTATTTTAATGAAAAAGTAAAAAAAAAAAAAGATTTTTATTGATAAATCTCATTTAGAAGGGTTTTAACCCAAGAAGTTCATGAAGGAATTTTTTAACCCATTTAGTCCCATGTATGTATAGTTTTATTCCATAAAGTCCATTTTCTTGATTTTGGCCCAAGTTCTGCCCGGCCCAAGTTCTGGCAGCCCATCTCTGGGCGGATAGTCGATCATCTCGGCCCCATGCACGGTTGGGCTCTCAACCTGTTCGGCCGTTGCCTCGGCCCAACTCCAGGTCACAAATCACCCTTTCACCGCCCGCGGCCCATGGGTGACCCGTTGCGGGCCCGGTCCGGCCCGTTGTCAATGTGAATATTCACATTGACATATTAACATTTACATTAATAGGAGTGTAAAATTGGCCCGTATCCCGTGGCGGCGCAAAACCCACCGGAGGCCCATGTGCGGCCCGGAACAGGCCCGGTCCGACCCGTTGACAATGTAAATATTCACATTGACATGCTAACATTCACATTGATAAGAGTATAAAATTAGCCCGCGGCCCATGGGCGCCCAAAAGCCCCCCCACCACGGCTCGGGGCGGGCCCGGCCCGGTCCGTTGACAATGTGAATATTCATATTGACATGTTAATATTCACATTGATAGGAGTGTAAAATTAGTCCGCGCCCCGTGGCTACCCGAAACCTGTCCACGGCCCGAGGCAGGCCCGGCCCAGCCTGTTAACAATGTGAATATTCACATTGACATGTTAACATTCATATTGATAAGAGTATAAAATTAGCCAGCGGCTCAAGGCGGGCCCGACCTGGCCCGTTGACAATGTGAATATTCATATTGACACGTTAACATTCACATTGATAAGAGTGTAAAATTGGCTCGCAGCCCGTGGGCTGCCCGAAGCCCGACCGTAGCCCGACCCCAGCCCGACCCGTGACATTGTGAATATTCACATTGACATGCTAACATTAACATTGATAGGAGTGTAAAATTTGTCCGCTGCCCGAAACTTGCCCGCGGCCCGAGGTAGGCCCTGTCCATTAACAATGTAAATATTCACATTGACATATTAACATGTACATTGATAGGAATGTAGAATTGGCCCGCGGCCCGTGGGCTGCCCGAAGCCTGCCCATGGCCCGGGGCAGGCTCGTTTGGGTCCGGGCCCGAACCGGTGGGTTAAGCCTCGGGTCGGGTCGATGGGCCTGGGCCTAGCCTCAGTCTTGGGTCAGACTTGGGCGGGCCTAGCCATTTTTTTTAATTATTTTTAATTTTTTCTACCAAAATTTTATTATTTTCCACAAAAAAAGACACTAGGCCTTGACGCGGGCCGGGTCTTAGATCGAGCCTTGAATGGGCCTTAACCGGACCGGGCTTCAAAGTGATGGCCCAGGCCCTAGCCTAGGGTCTCAGACTAGGCTCGAGCTCGGGCCTAAACAAGCCTTTCCCGAGCCGCGAGCGGGCTTCGAGCAGCCTACGTTCTTTTTGACTATTCCATTAAGTCCTATTTGAGGTAAGAAGACCAAAATACTATTTTCATCTACTTATATTCTATTTAGTACACATTATTTTCTTATGTTTCAATAAATCCTATGGGAGACATAATTACCAAAATACCTATAATGTGAATGTTCATATCGTCAATGTGAATGTACATATCATCAATGCGTAAAGGCCCGGGCTGGCCCATATCGAGCCTCGTGGGTGTCCAAAAAAATTCGGGCCGGCCTGGCCCGGCCCACGGGCAAAAAAATTAGGCCCAGACCTTAGCCCTGGCACAAGGGTATTCAGGCTTTGGACGGGCCGATGGATCGAGTCTCGGGTTTGCCGGTGGGCCTGGGCCTAGCCTCGAGTTGGGCGGGCCTGGCCATTTTGTTTTAATTCTTTTTAATTTTTTCTACCAAAATTTTATTATTTTTCACAAAAAAAGACATTGTGCGCTCGGGCGGACTGGGCCTCGGACCGAGCCTTGAATGGGCCTTAAGCGGGCTGATGGGTCGGGCCAGGCTTCAAAGTGATGGCCTAGGCCCTAGCCTAGGGTCTCGGACATGCTCAGACCCCGGCCCAAATGAGTCTTCCCCGGGCCGTGGTCGGGCTTCGGGCAGTCTTCGGGCCGCGGGCCAATTCTACATTCCTATCAATGTGCATGTTAACATGTCAATGTAAATATTCACATTGTCAACGGGCTGGGCCGAGCCTACCCCAGGCCGCAGGCAAGCTTCGGGTAGCGGACAAATTTTACACTCCTATCAATGTTAATGTTAACATATCAATGTGAATATTCACATTGTCACGGTTCGGGCCAAGCCCGCCTCAGGTTGCGGTCGGGCTTCGGACCGCCCACGGGTTGCGGGCCAATTTTACACTCTTATCAATGTAAATGTTAACATGTCAATGTGAATATTTACATAGTTAACGG